CTTTTAGCTTCCTTAAGCTTTCTTAACACTCCAAGAATCAAAACCAATTCTAAAATAAAAAAAAAATAATCAATAGGAAGCATACTCACCTTATTCAAAAACCCACAGTGAAGAGGAGGAAGAAATATGAAAAATTATCTGGATATCTCTTACTCTTTCTTTTCCTTTTTCCCTTGTGTATATATAATACCCCACTTATGAATTTTAAATTCATTTCCCTATCAAATGACCATTATACCATTTCTACTTTCCAACTTTACTATTAAATCCAACACCAAGATACTCCAATTAAGTCCTTGAACATTTTAATTTTCTGAAATTGATCACAAAGTTTCAAAAACTTACGTTTTAGTCACTAGCCTGGTTTTTGGGATGTTACAATTGTATTTCAATATTTGATTTCTGAATATGAAATATTTTTCATGTTTTACTGGATTAAAGTATCGTTTTCACTTGAATACATACATTTTTATTATTATCATTGGGGGTGTTATTGGAGGAAGTATTTCAGGTCTAGTCTATGACTTGTAAGACCTTACAGTAGGCTCCTTTGCTTTGTGCTTAGGGTAAGTCCTTACCACACGCTCATCTGCTTTGTGCTTAGGGTAAGTCTTTACCGTAGGTCCTTATGCTATATGTATAAGGCCCTTACTGGGTGTATGGTTATGGGGAACCTACACATTCTGGTAATCGAATGGGGGCAATGTTCATATTTTAAAACATGTTTGATAAACTTATTTTTACCGAAGTATTTTATCTGTATGCTTTTATACACAGTAAGGAGCGCACTGGGCTTTTTAGCTCATTCTGTAAATTTTAACTTTTTTAGATAGTAGCATACCGTAGGCTAGCAGACTTGGCATCAGGAGGACCGACTACTACTATTTTTGTACCACTGTATATCTCTATATGCCTTTTTGTTATACTTTGGTGACATGTGTTTTTGTTACTACTCGATATATATTTATTATCGGTATTTTGTTATACATATATTTTATATGATTTTCTGATATATGTATATATATAAATATTTATCGTATGAACCTTTCTTAAACTAAATTCATATTATATTATTATATGTATTTTAATATTGTTTTAAATATGTAAATAATTTCTTAATACGGTATATAACCACTTAGATTTGGGCATAATGTCTAGGCCGAGTCTAGGGGTTACACTTGGTGGTATTAGAGCTTTCATTTTTAAACACTCGAACTATGAATGAGTCCTAAATTTTGAACTTTCAAGATCTTTCAATGTTTTCAAAAATCGTGTCACCTTATTTTATGAGTTTTAAATATATTTGAGATTCCTGATGCTAGTATAACTTAGGTTCAAATTCTTTCTGTAGAGCCTTGTAGATTTATCCGATGAGTGCCGCTAGAGGTCGTAGGCTAGGTCGTGGCCGGGGTTGAGGGCGAGCGACTCGACCTTCCGTTAGGATAAAAGATCTGATGTTACCTCGAGATCCTCCTATTTTGCATGTAGATTTGTTTATTTCTCGAGATGATCAAGTTACACCTACGAGAAACCCTCCCGTCACTAAGGATGAGGACACTGATATGGATGAGGATATCATCAATAGAGATGTCTTTCGTATGTTTCGGAGAGCTGCTAGAGTAGCTGGTAATATGTCTGCAGTTGAGATTTCGAAGTCTTTGGTAGCTATTGGAGTAGTTCCGTTCGAGAGCATTATTGGTGGACCTCCAACTGATGCTGAGTATTGGTTGGAGGATACATAGAGGATTAAGGACGAGATGGATATGAGGTCTGAATAGAAGTTAAAGAGAGCCCTAGCTGTAATACCCCAACCCGTACCCGACCCGAATACGAGTCCGAGGTGTCACATTGACTTTTCAAACTTTGACTCTTTTGAAAAACAGAGAAATTTAAAACTTTGTTTAAAGCAAAATACGTTAATTTACATAAAAATGACCACAAAATACAAACTCCATCAGAGTACTCGTAATTAACGACTTATTACATGCCAACACTCTATACACACCAAAATACATACTTTGTCGATTACTTCTGATATGATCTTCTAGTAATAATACTGTCCTGACCACTTCTATTCTTGCTCTTTTCGTTTCTTGGTACCTACGTGTAAATCACTTACACGCTAAGTCATAGACTTAGTGAGGCAATAAATAAACATTTAACAACCAATTCATGAATATGCATTCTTATCATTGGATCATGACATTTCAACATGCATGTATCTATTACACGATAACATATATAAGCATGTCATGCACATGTAAAACTTACCTTCTTGTGCCACTTTCACTTTAATTTATATTTCAATTGTATTTCCCATGTATATTATTGAGAATAGACGTATACGAGTACACTGAGGTTGTGCACACATATGCTGTCACCATAGCTCGTATAAATGTCCCGAAGGACCTATCATCTCGAAGGATGTCATCTGTGTCCCGAAGGACCTGTCATCCTGAAGGATGTAATCCGTGTCCCGAAGGACCTATTATATGTCTTATAGGACATATGTAACCCTCGACTCTTGGCATGCCAACTATACCTATAACTCTCGTATCATATACTATGGGCATTTATTATGAATATGTTTCTCATCACTTGTTCTTTCTCTTCTATCACATACCACATGTATGTGTAGCCATGTATTTCATATCATATCACATGTATCACGTATTATATATTCATATGTCATTTCATATCATATCACATGTATCACATATTGCATATTCATATATCATTTCATATAGTCACATAGCTTATCTCATTTCACATTGGTCATGTCTCATAACATATATCACATATACATATTATGTAACATATATAATAACCTATACTCATTTCATGTATTCATGCACATATAAGAATCACCAATCAAATAACATTTTAGGAGTCAATTCTTACCATAGTAACTCCATCACTGACTCATCGCAAGCCAATGTTCGTTCAATAATATAAGTACAATTAAAATTGCACTCACCTTAGCCTTGTTTGATTTGAATCAATTCTAATCCCTTGATTATTCCAGAGCTTTTTTAGGCTCAATATCTACATAAATATATCATTTCAAAACAACTATCATAAGCCTAAACTTTAAACTTGATGTTAATAACTTAAACTGATTTAATGAATCAAATTCCATTTTTTCGTTTAGGGGGAATCGATACCCCCCCAGGGGGAATCTGTTCCCGGGGAATCGATACCCCCAAGGGGAATCTGTTCCCCCTGCACATACTGGAATTTTCGTCCAAGAGGGGGAATCGATTCCCTTAATAGGGTATCGGTTCCCTCTACCCAGAAATTGTATTTTAACCCCGAAAATCATCAATTCTTCACTTAAATCTTCTATTTTAAACCCCTATCATGTCATTAAACTCAATTATCATTACTTAAACCAACTTATATCCATGAAAATCATCTATAACTTCAAAATCCTATGCTTCATATGTAATTCAAGAATCATACTCAAATTTTAATACGTTCTAAATATAATTCTAACACTTCATATTCCTTAATTAGCATGATGACAATTCAAATTTAACTTCAAATTCAACTTATCAACTCTTTTCCATGATTTCATATAAAAACTCATTTTCTTAAATCTCTTATAACTTCTTCATCTTTTGATTATAAGACAACTTAAGCTTTCCTTAAGCTTAGTTATCATCTAATGATCCAAACCTAACCTTTAATTTAACAAATAATCAACAAATCAGAAAACCCTTACCTTATGCTCTGCACGTTGGAGAAGAAGAAGGTAAGAAGAAGAAGAGTTTTCTAAATACTCTCCCCCAACGTTTATCTCTTCATAAAGAGATAAAAATATCTTTCATGATAAATAACCATTTTGCCCCTTAATTCCTTTGATAATTACTAATAACTTTCAGGAAATATTTCTGAACAAATCATTAAACTATTCAAATATCCTACTTCAATCACCAAACTCTGAAGTTTTATACGTTAATCACTAACACGTATTTTGGGATGTTACACTAGCTATGCTGAAGAAAGAGATTTTTTGATGGTGACAATCGATTTCTGGTAGTATTCCGAGGAATTAGTTGACGTCAGATCTTTTCAAGGCACGCTTTTGGAGTCGCTACATCGGAGAGAAATACTTGCATGAGCGACGCCATGAGTTTCAGAATTTAGAACAGGGTGATATGTCTGTTATGGATTATGAGTATGAGTTTATCAGGTTGAGTCGCTATGCTACTAGGCTTGTTGATACTGAGTTGGACCGGTGCTTAATATTCGAGAATAGACTCAGGTATGAGATCAATAGTCGAGTTGCTACCCATCGGGAGAGGAATTTTGATGTCATGGTTGAGATATCCAAATATGTAAAAGTAAAGGTATATATGTGTGTGTTGTTTGTGTGTGTCAAATTATGCAACTAGTTTACCTATCACATATAAATTAAACTTTGTGTATAAATAAAGTGATCTTAATGATAAAGTAATTGTTGTTTTTCTTGAAAATCTTGAGTTCAAACATTATAAATGTCAGGGATATTAAATAATTGAGATTTATCTTTAAATAGATACTATCTCTACTTAATATTTATTCTAAATTTATTAAAAAATAAATTAAATTTTATAAATCTCATCTATAGTGTATGGCTGTTAATTTTATAATTTTCATCACTGAGTATATGCTTAAACTTTTAATATTTATTTATTTTTAATTAATAATTAAAATTTTTACGTAAAATATTACATATAAAAATTATATATTTCAATTTAAATATGTAATTTAAAAAATATTCAATAAATAATAATTTATTATTAATCATTACAGTGAACCATGAACAAACCATATTTGATGGATTGAGCTGGATTGACATTTGGCCCGTCAACCCGACCCATTACAAAAGGATTATAGTAATTTCATCGAACGGTCTAGATCAACGAGAAGAGACGTGCTGGAAACCTTTATCGCTTCCATTATCTCCGCTAAAACAATGGCTTCCATCATTTGGAACGACAAACGTTTCAAATTCCACATTAAAAAAATCCATTTTTTCTTATTGTTTTTTTTTTCACTTAAGAGAAAATGTGTTACGGTCAGCAACGACGATCTCTCTCACCGAACCGCCCTTCCCGCTATAACAATGCATTGGTGGTGGATACGCTACGTGTCCGGCTAGCCGAGACGGAGGCTCGGCTCGAGCGAGCCAGGGCTCGAGAGGCCGCACTCACTCGCCAGCTCGAAGAAATGAAGCGTTTCGTTTCCGTCATGGAGATCATCGAGTCTTACCTCAAACAACGGTTTCGCGAGCAACAAGAATACGTGGCGCGCTTCTTCTCTTCGCTTCCTGCTAAATAAAGAAGAGCTTTCCCTCGCCGACTTTTAACAAAATTTCTTTTTGATAATGTTTCCTTTTACAATATTTTGTTGTTTTTGCGTATGTGTTCTCGTATTTGATAGAAGGAATTACATTCAACTGATTTGAAAATGCGAAAGGCTCTGTTTCTTGCTCTTACGGTTTGTGGAGCTCAAAATTTGTTGATAATTTAGTGAATTTACTAGTTTTGTATTAAATTGTTTGAGTAGATGTTAATTATGCTTGTTTTTGGTTAAATCGGGGGGCTTAAGTTGAACTGCTAGTTTGTACACTCTTTTGAATGGCAGAGTTGAGTGATTTTTACAAATTGGTGGTTTGTCATTGTGATTAGTTCTTTTTAATCTCATTGCTTAATTGACATTGATTTCAGAAGACTCACATTATTTAGAAATTTATTGCATTTGAGGGCTAAATCATATTCTTTGATTATATCATAGCGCTGTAAGGTGTTTGTTGCATTTCAGATTCAGATTGTATCAAGTTGAACGGAGCTGTTGAAGGCGGAAGAGTCATACGGCCAATATCTCAGTTGGTGTTTTGTTTCATATTTGATTTGAGAAGCCTCATATTAGGTGGAAGTTTTTGGCATTAAAGTGCTAAATCATAATCTTTGATTGTTGTGATCATTCAGTGGGCAAGTTTACCGAGGTGTTTGTTGCATTGCATTCTAGTTTCAGGTTGTATTGAGTTGAATGGAATCATTGAAGGCATAAGAGTTATATGTGAAAAAGATCTCACTATATTTACAGTATTTGTTACATTTTGGTTTCAGATTGTATTCAGTTGAAGTGGAGTCATTGAAGGCACAAGAGTTTACCTGGAAAAAGATTTCAGTATATTTACAGTATTTGTTGCATTTGAGTTTCAGGTTGTATTGAGCTGAATGGGAGTCATTGAAGGCGTATGAGTTACACGGCAAATATCTCCGTATATTTGCAGGAGGGCAACTTCTTTAAGCGGAAGTAATCAGGCAAGTAGATTATTTGTAAGGGTGGTAGTGTGTTTTTTTAGAGAATATCATGCTTTACTTATATAAGCGGAAGTAAATCATTAGCTGCAAGTTGAACTCTATATGTATTGTTTCAATGCTTTTTTATACAATGGACTTCGTTGCCGGCGATTAAAGAATGGATTGCAGATACTGACATTCAAACATCATACTAGTCGGATGGTGAGGATAATCTCTAGGTTTTGTTTAGAATGATATGGCTTGGCTAGCAGTATTACTTGGGTGATAGACAAAAGTAACTACATTTGAGAAACAAATCTTCATAAGAAAATGTCTTTTAATTCAACAAGACAAATTTGATCCTTTATTCTGCCATTCAAGGATGAGGGCACGAAGGGTATGATTTGGGGTCAAGAATTTATGCTTAAGACACAAATTTGTCATGGGAGAAGTATCATGCCCCAACTTAAGCCATTCTTCTATGGCTTCCAATTCATATGAAAAACCATCAGCTGCTACATGTGGATTTTTCATCACTTCCTGCACCCACAAACACCAGTTTCAAGCATATCAAAAACATAATCAGAACATAATTGTAATGAATAGAGTTTTTTAGGGATTTATCATTAGATCAACCTGGAATATGGGGCAGAGGAAAACACTTGGTTCTGGTACATCGTTTGCATCTTACATGTTTACATTCTCCTTGCACACCACTTCAATTCCTCCTCTAGCCACCAAATATTCAGCTTTCTTTTTCAACTCATCAAGCTCTTCCACCACGGTCGCAATCTGCAAATTCGGGTTCACCCCATGGCTCACCGACATGCATTTCATGGATATTCCTGCAAGTTCTACTGCCAATTCTAAAGGCAAATTTCCTGCCTTCTCATCCAAAACCTGAGCAAGGGTCGCCCGGTCCACCACAGCATCTTCAATCAACCATGCACAGTTCCTCCCAGTTAACATTTGCATCAATAGGACCCCAAAAGCCCAGATGTCTGAACTAAGATCATAATAATCACGGTGTTGTCTCAAGCCATAGCCGCTAATCTTTGCAACAAGATTACAGTCCAAGAGGATGTTGGATGTCGTCAATTGACCTTGAACTATGGGTCTCGGCTTAGCCAAGTGTAGGAAGACCAACCCCATGCAAACTTCACGAGCTAACAGATCCGATCGCACCACCCAAGGACCCAGTTTTTGTTTTTTGTCCTACAGTTTCTTTGGTGGATAAACAAAATGTCTCTCAAGCTACCATTATGCATGTATTCGTAGATCATGCATGTCAGCTCCGAGCAGAATCCCATCGTTGCAACCAAATGCGGATGTCGAATGTCAGTAAGAAGCCTCACCTACGTATATGATATTATTCACTGTTTTATTACACTAAACCAATAGTATCCTATTAATACCTTTTCCAAGAAGAAATATTGAGCATGGAAGATGATGCTTCCTATGCAATCCCCAATTCTATTAGATCCAATTATTACAGTAAAGAAAGAATCCATACCTTAGCTTGAAAATCTTCTTGAGATGTCCCTTTAACAGAACTTAACATCTTGATGGCAACTGTTGAATGATTGATTCGTCCTCGATAAACATTCAACCAATCCCCACATGATTTTAATGGTAAACGTTCTGAGAAGTTCAGTTGCCAATCTGATATTGTCAGCCGTGTATTCTTTAAAGATACACCTTAGCTCCTCGATCTTGCAACCATTCTAAGTGCTTCTTTTTCTCTACAAAATTCTATTCTCGAGTTCTCTTACCATCTCGGCTATTGTAACTTCAGCCTTGTCTAACTGAGACTCAGAAAGTGCTCTTACCTTGGTTGATACCTGGAGTTTGTTTGATAGTTCAGCTTGGAGTTCCTTCAGTTAATTAAGCCTATGTTTGCTCTCTTCAACATCTCTTATTACTTCATAAAGTTTCTCTTTTCCAGTGTCCAACATGCTCTTTATCTCTAGCCGTTGAGTGATCTCTTCTCTTATCAGAGTTTCCAGTTCCTCAGCCTAAATAAACACGATTGAATTTAAGGCATCAAATCAACAACAAATTTTAAAATATTTGTAGGTAAATCAAGAGCTTGAGTAATACCCTGGTATTGCATAAATAGTAGCCCATTTAGCTTTTGCTTGCCTTTCCATATCAGCCTTTGCTTCTTTCTCCTTCAAATGAACAATCTCATGAGCTTCATCTATCTTACATTGCACAAGTTCCATTTCGCCTGCATCGTTCTGACAATGGGACATATTTGTCAGTAAATCACTATCTTGAGACCAAACATAGCTAATTATCCTATCACTGGCAAATGCCTCCCTAGTCAAGAAATGGACATGGATAAGATAGAAAAAGTAAAAGGTACTGTAGCAAAAAGAAAGATTAGTTAGGCATAAAACAAAATTTTCTAACTGCCACAACATTATCATCACAAATTCCGGAAAAGGAAAACATAGACAATGATCTCATCTCACCATGTTGGAACTTGTGTTTTCTGGTGTGTTCGACTCTGTTGGATTAGTTTGAAACAGATCATCAATCTCCTCATCGAAATTCAAAGACAATGCACATTATTTTCCCACCGGTTCTTGGATGAATCATGGTTAATCAATGGAGGGCATGAACATGTTTGACGTCTGATCAGCGGGGAACTATCACTGAAAATTCTTCCCAAGAAGTTTCTAATGCTTGGTTTTCTTTTATTTTTGCAACCATTATTTCTCGGTCATCCTCCATGTACCCTTCATCAATGTTTCCGTTGAGGACCACCAATTTGCCTCCACATATAACGTATAGCTCACAAAAACCAGGCTTGTTTTGATGAACATAGAATGCTCCACTTATTGCACTCTTTGATCTCCTATGGTTGAATGAATCAATTCATGGAAAGACCTAACTTGAATATAAAATCAGAGAATAATTCGAAATTAAGAAATTTTCCATACCAGGATGAGGATTTCATGAATGTCATTCCCATGACAAGTTTGCCGATTTCGAGTCCTGTCATCAAATCTACTATGAGCTGGTGGATAGGTTCATCATATTTCTCTACTTTTAATATTTCAGCTTTTACCTATGAAAAACAAACCCAGAAAACTATTATAATAAGATCAATGGCAACACAGTAAAAACTAATAAAAGTTAAAACAACCATAGCCAAAAAGCAAATAAAACAAAACCTTGCCACAGAAAGTTATATACTTGGAAAGTAACTTGTCTGTCTTCTCTTGCTCATACCTCCTCAACATTTCCAGCTTCTCTTCACTCGCGGCGGTCTCCGGAAGCTTCCCGACTGATGAAGGAGATGAAAAATGGATGATCAAATGAAGAAATAAAAGGAAATGAACATCGCTTTTTGAACTTACATGGGGTGTAAACAAAGTCCTTGGAAATTTTGTAAGTAGCATGAAGGATGACTATGGAGAATGATTGAGAACTCCATTTTCTTAGTGTCCAAGCCAGCGTCTTATATCCATCACGTATATCGTTTCCTACAGCAACATAAACCGTTTCCACTTGAGTAGGAGTTCCCATTGGTGATCTCAGACGATTCATGGCTCAAACAGCAGGCTCTTAAAGAAAATCCCAATGAACATCCATGGGAATATAGCTACAAAGGATTAATGTGAATTTTTCCTGGAAATCATAAGGAAGTTGAATTTTGTTGTTTGGTTAATGATTTTGTCAAAGGTTTGTTGAGGAACTTATAGATATTTTTGAAGAAAAAAGGAAGTTACTTGGTTGTCTTCAAGAGAGTAGGACGGCTAATTTGGAGCTTAATGCATGTATGTATGGATTTGGATCAAAATTAATGACGCAGTTTCTTTTTAATTTGATGGAAACATTGCATTAAATATGACTTTTTTTTCCCCGACAACTATTCGATCATACTGGAACACAATCCATTCACGCGTAAACCTATTCCAATTTCTTCTTAATCCCGTCAATTTTTTAAACAAAGGGCTAATTGCATTAGATATCCACAACCTACTCTTAACATTGGTTTCGGTATTAAATGTAAGTACAGATCTTAATATATATAAAACATATTTAAAATACAATCAAATTTTATGTACTTATATACCTACTATATTGATAATTTGAACCTAATATATACAAGAAAAAAGATAGCATCATTAAAATTTAGAATAATTTTTTCTTTCTTTTTTCTCCTTACACGTCAT